TCCTCATTAGTCAGCAAAATACGTTCCTCATAGGGCTTGCCTTGTAGCTGTGAGGTCTCACTTGACTGTATTTAAGTTATGATAACAATGTATCATAAACGAAATTGTGTCTGTCCTGTGGGACCCAACCTGAGAGTTTTCTACTCAAAAGTTTCCATGGCAAAGGAGGTGGCATTTGTTTGCTTGCTTGCTGTGACTTTATGATCCCAGAGGCAAACACACTGATGTGAGGTAGACACAAAGAGAATATCCTATAAATAAAGAGCAGGCTGTTGATGAGAGAGGCTGTCTGACATTCAAGAGGTGTTTCCTGCTTTGACATAAAAGACCAGAGATAGAAAAAGAGAGCAGGGACTAAAACACCTACCTCCTCTCCTTCTCTCACTAATTTCCCCTTATTCACTGAATTTCAGTCAAATATAACCAGGGTAAATGAATGTCCTGACAGTCTCAGTCTAATGATAACAAAGCTGCATGTTCATAGCTCCTAACCTCACATGTTACTTTATACTACGGTTGATGTTTAGGGAGACTGAGACTTGCTGACTGGGAGAAAGGCCAAAAGAAGAGAAGCCAGCAGGAGATTATTACAAGCAGCTGAGCTCAACCCAATAACATTCATCTAAACTACTTTCACTTGCTATCCTAAGTTGTGTGGCAGGTCTGCTTCATTTCTCACATGTTGTAGTTTCAGGTTATTTTCATTTCTTCAGTGCTCAACAAGGCAAAGGTGCATTATTTTCACAATTCTTCAGCATGCTTTATTGACTTGGGTCAGGGTGACCAGACAACTGCCGCTTACAACATATACATTACACTATAAACCAAGGGGATGGTTCTGTGGGAAAAACCCAATAAATCAGCAGTTTCCCTCCTGTCGTCCTGGGACCTTTTTGTACCACTTTCTGGTTTTAAATGCATGCCATTTCCACTGTGTTCAGTGGAATATAACCAAACTTGCCAAAGGATTTTTTTTTTTTTAATTTTAAAATTTCAGTGTGAATTTCTTAAATCAGCCTAAAATGGCTGAGCAGCAGAAATCCTCACACCCTTTACCCTAGGGACCATTTTCGGCCCCATTGACTTCCATTATAAACGCTATTTTTCATCCCAAAATTATTATTATATGATTTTATTTATTTATTTTTGCTTTGGATGTCAATGAGGACTCAGGGTCTTGAAATTTTAATGTTTATATTTGTCCACCAGGTGGTGCAATTTTTTCACTTTTTGGCCAGTGAATGAAATGAAGTAAATTTTCGTATTTATTCCATAGACTTTCTGCTGAATAAATGATAATCCTGTGTCACTAACAGTCTTAGACAATGGCGTGTATGTGTAAAAAAATAAAATAAAGGTTTTTATGCCTAAAAAAAGAAAAAAATACACATGCACACACACACACGCGCACACACACATGCACACCTTTTCCCCCCCGTCTTTTCTCTTAGGCCAATATGCAATACAAAAACAATAAATATAAAAGCTGGAACCAAAGCCAAATTAACTTTATTATGACAAAAAGTTAATTTTTCAGTGAAGCTGTGGTTGGGAAAACAAGCTGTACCCCGGAAGTAGTTATTTTTAACGACGGAAGGGCTCGGCGCGCACTGCAGTTGGCACACTGGCACGCAAATTTAATGGTAAAAAAAAGCACCTTTGCCACTCGTTATAACATTGGGAGCGAAAAGGAGATGAATGAGACAGTAACAGGGCGATATTTTAAAGTATTTTGGTCACTCAAAGACAATGATCCGCCATCGCGTTGGCGATGCTTTCAGCCGATGGCTGTTAGCTGTTAGCGGATGACAAAATCCGCCCTTCCCCCCTGCATCGGGATAATGCAGGGAAATATTAATGTTTTCGTTACTTTAAAAATTAGTATCGTTGCATTGCCACTCAGTTACCGGGGGTTACAAAAGAAAACGATAGATTTATTGCGTGGGATCGGACATAACGTGTAGGTAGCTACCCTGTCGGGGTAGCTACAGGGTAGCTACACGCTACAGAACATGACACATGTCACGATGACGCAGCGAGCTATGGTTTGTTTTGCTTTTATGAAGAACTTGTATCGTTGCATTACCATGCAATTTGAGAGTTAGAAAAGAAAACTACAGATTTATTGCTCTAGCGTGGATCGGACATGTCGTGTAGGTAGCTACCCCGACCGAACATGGCACATGCGTCACCATGACGCAGCGAGGGAATGTTTTGGTTTTATAAAGAACGTGTATATTTGCCTTATTATTCCATTTGAGGGTAAGAAAACATTTTATATTGACTATTCTCACGTTCGGACAGGATTATTGTAATGAACAAAGGACATTTTGCCTGATAATTATTTATATCCTGCTGTAACTTTTCTGTATAAAGAAATAAGCCCTCCAACATTTCAGGTGTAAAACGTCATAATTAGAAGTGTTTGTAACTAAAAATAAAAATTGTGGAATACTGTTTGTGCGTGATTTAGACTTCCCAGCCTGAAACAAACTGGCCCGGAACACTCACCACGAAACGACACCGGGACCCACCGCTGCAGCCCGCTGGATGCAGCCAGCTGGAAGCAGACCGCTCCAAGCAGCCGGCTGGAGGCAGCGGAAATCATATTCTTCCTTGATTCCCAACATAACTGTTCATATTCATCCTTCTCAAATAAATGTTTTTTTGGTTCAAAGTGATCTTGTATTGTTATTAACATATTTTTGTAATTTTATTTTTAGAAAACAACGAGGTAATAAGCACTTAGTATGTGAAGACTAAAAACATAATATACCGTTTTATTATAATTTACTATGATGCTGCAAAAAAAATAATGCTGGATCAAAACAAATGTTGGTGCCAATCTTTGACCCATCGAAAGGCCTAATTATAACAATAATCAAATATTACTTCAAATGTATTTTATGGAAAATATTTAAGTTTTTGTTTTTTGGGGCTAAAAAAACGGTGAGCTCATGGAATTAAACTACGATTTAAAGGGTTAAAACCCCCGAAATATAATTAAAACTTTATATGAATATTTCAGGGAGAAGTAGTTTTAAAAGATTGGCTAATTTAAAGTGGAAAAAATATGAATATATAATCTTTTTATAGCACTTTTTGGGGTGTGGCAGAAAACGGTCCCTAGGGTAACGGACGTAAGTTTTTCTTTTAATTTGCCCCTGCATCAAAAATAATGCTGGATCAAAACGAATGTTGGTGCGAATCTTTGGACCATCCAAAGGCCTAATTATAATAAAAGTCAAATATTACTTCAAATGGTTTTTTTTAAAAAATATTTAGTTTTTTTTGTTTTTTGGGGCTAAAAAAAAGGTGCACTCATGTAATTAAACTGCGATTTAAAGGGTTAAAACCCCCGAAATATAATTAAAACTTTATATGAATATTTCAGGGAGAAGTAGTTTTAATTTAAAGTGGAAAAAAATATGAATATATAATCTTTTTATAGCATTTTTTGGGGCATGGCAGAAAACGGTCCCTAGGGTAACGGACGTAAGTTTTTTAAAGGATCGCACCAGTCAACCTAACAAATCAAATCAAATCAAATCACTTTTATTGTCACATCGCATGTGCAGGCACACTGGCACAGCACATGCGAGTGAAATTCTTGTGTGCGAGCCCCACAAGCAACAGAAATGTGCAAACACAACAACACAAACCAGCAAATACAAGAATGGCTACATCTGAAACTAATAAATATATGTACAATATATAATAGTGTATGCA